CGTGAACCCACACACCATCATGTACCAGATCATGGACACACCAGTTATCATGGTGGACACGCCGAGGTTGAATCGCACGATGATGGTGGAGATGGTGGGGATGGTGGTCATGGCCACGGTCATGATTATGGGCATGGTTATGGACACGGACACGGACATGGCCACGGTCATTCCAGCGGCTTCTCAATCAAACAAGAACATGGTGTTGCAGTTCATCAYCATGGTGGTCATGATTTCGGTGGACATGGTGGTCATTAAAAATTAGACGAGCAAAATTTATAACTAAGCCTGTTGGTTTATAATAATATTATTTTTATATATTTATATAAAAAATAATTTTGTTGCTATTGAACTTAATTGTTCTGATATTATTAAAGTTATTTAAAAGTTAATAACAATTGGTCGTTTTTGTTTTTTTAATATACTACGTGCAGAATAGAAAATATATCAGCCGAAGTATTAAAGGACTTCAAACTCGGCAGTTAGGCTGTAAAACTTATACAAGGTATTGACTTCTTTTTATTTACTACTTATAATTGACAGTAATTGATGAGTATTTGCTTCCATGCACTTCTTCATTAAAGACTTATAAGGTTTGAATTTAAGTGGCCAAGTTTATGATGTAATCTTTGGAAGGATGGATTGTGGCGGGCCTTACATTTTTTGAGAACCCTCTGACCTTATTTTATGCGACTACATACTATGTCACATGAATTTTGAGCATCCTGGCATTAAAAATTTCCTAATATCTGGTTGTTTTGGTTATACCCGCCGGGGGAAGCAGAGGAAGAGAAAGACCTCCACTCAGTTGAAGGGCCAAGTGGAGAAGGACCTGGCTTCACTTGGAATATCTAATTGGCGCCACGTAGCGAAAAGAAAAAACGACTCGCGCGCTATTGTTAACTCGGCTATAATCGAGTAAGCGGTGTCTACGCCAGTAAAGAAGAAGAAGAATGATTGGTGGGTCTCAAGATGGGTGATGGGTGTTGCAAATAGTACACTCAGTAAACCGATTGTGTTAACCATAAGTTGAGCGAAGCGCGCGAAACATATTCTTTGCAGAACGTGAATTTTCGTAATAAATTTTAACAATTTGCAAATGTTGTTGAAATGCCAAACAATACTTAAGAAAAATAATATGACAGCTTGACACAACTCACGGGTGATCTGTCAAAAAAAGTTCCTCTACTTGGATCGTTATGTAAACTTGTGAAGGGTATTTTAGCTTCGGTGCAACCGAATTTAACTTTTTACTTCTTGTAATTACTATTTAATGATTTCCACCGATCGCAATAATCAAAATATCGGGAACAATTATAAATATCAATAATTTCAATTAATTGGGCCTCAACAATGCTACTTATATACTATACATAATTATAATTATATTAGATATAAATCTAAATCTCTATTTATAGTTTATTAGACATCCAGCTGTCTACAGTTTGCATTGATCTCAAAATGTGTGTACAATTCGGAAGTTTTTTAGCTAAAAACTATGAGCGTCGGAAATTAGGAATTTCATTTTTCATTTGGCTTCTTATTATACTTATGCAGACGAAAGTAGCGAACAACGTTTGTATCTAATACCAAATCGTAAAACAGATATTTGAAATATTTGTATAAATATTTTCAGGAAAAAACCGCTAAAATTACAAATATCGAATGTAAAACAATCGATCCGAAATATATCTTTATAAAACAGTGTAAAATGAAAGCTTATCGCAATGACGTCACTGCAATAACAGTGCAAGTTATATTGTTGCAAGGGGCCGTAAATAATATTTCGGTATGTTCCGATGTAGTACTTTTATATACATACATACAAACATATGCATCTACTGCTTGCTAACTGTAAAAAATTCGATTCGGCAGCTAAAAAGCAGCGTACGAAAACGGGGCGTAGAAACTGGCACTCCGATGTCGCAATTTACTGTGGATTTTTGCGCATTTTTACGTAATAAGCGGCGAAATCTGTGGGCGGAATTGGTTTATCGAGTAATGGGTTTGGAAAAGTGGAGTAATCTGAATCACACCTGTCCCATTGATGTAAGTACCTACATATGCAAATATATTTAATGTGATTGTGAGTTTTGAATTTGTTTTTTCCTTTTCTCGCTTTTGACAGCATGACGTATTGCTGGATGGCTACCGGTTCGAAAACAAGAAAATGGGAAAATTAATTCCATTCCCTAATGGGCATTACACTTTTACCAACTGGTGGTACACTTATAAYGTTTTACGCATTATCATTACCGTACATTATCAACTCTATGATAAATGAGTTGTTTGACAAAATAAAACTATGTATAGGGTATATGTACACAAAAGTACAAATACTTTAATTTCCATTTCTTTTAATTGCAACGAGAAATATACTCGAAGGCACGCACACTGAAKGACATATTGGTGATAAAACTTGCTTGAAAAATAATTTATGTAGAATGCATATGGGAGTGGAAGTAATTCGTGTACATATGTACATATATGATAAAAGGACAAGCAGAAATTTTAAAATTGTATATTAGGCATATGACGTCTATGTTCCCATTTTAAGCACAATTATTGTTATTAGAATCCGAATTTCTATGACATATCTCACAGGTGGATCAAAATTTTGGTCAAAAGTTTTCCTGTAGAAACTGGGCTTCACATACACGAGAACGGGTCAAAATATGGTCAATTTAAGCACACTATTTAGGCAAAGTTTTCTCCCGAAATGGTCGGCGAAACCCCTCAGAGCTATATCCTCCTWGCGCGTGCCGACTGCGTAATGGGCGGCGCTACTGGCATCATCACAGCTTGGTATTTAGAAATAAAAGTGCTACTGAGCTGCAAAAAGATTAATTCGGAATGGAACGAAGCTAAATTGCTCGGATTAGCGCAAACGAAAACTACGAAGGGAGATGTATTTCCCCACCTATTGTCACTTGTAGCTAATAAGCTTTTGGAAAAATGTTAAAAGAAAACAYACAAGCTAATTACCTATGCAGACGACATACTTGTGATAGAGAAAATCCTAGGTACAATCAGTAATTTGATAGAGAACGCTCTGGTGGTCTCACACCGATGGTGATAAGACGAATATGGTAGTCTTTACAAGGAGGTACAAAATCCCTACATAAGAGTCAATGGAATTAAGCATGGAGCATATCAAGTACCTGGGCGGGATTTTGTACTGCAAGCTGCTGGGGAAACTCGATATGGAGGGGAGAGAGAAAAATACCAGTGCTGTCCTATACGCATATAAGAAAATGCTAGGCTCCTATCCTCATACATTAGTCTTACTCATCGCTGGTCAAGCCAATTTTACTTTATGGTGTTCTAGTGTGGTGGACCGCTATGAACAAAATTTTATRCAGAATATMGATAGAATGGGCACAGCAACTCGCTGTTYTCTGCATATTTGGAGCCCTAAGAACCACATCAACAACAGTTTAATTATTTATCTAAGGATCTCTGGGGCATAGCTCACTAAACAGAGGCTTATAGAAAATTGAGACCACACACCCACTCTTTATTTGGGAGAGAAGATTTTAAATCTCACTAAAGGAGGAAGCAGAGCCTGCGACGCACCAGCGGAACTTGCATCTACATATATGGTTCCAAAATGGTTAAAGCAATAATTTCACATCGCCTTACGTYAGACAATGYCCTTACGAAAMCATGCAGAAAGTGCAAATAAGTTGACATGAGAGAAACGCTGAAACGGCAGTATCTAGAACTCGTCTCAAGTATCTAGGAGCTTTGAAGCTCAAAGGACTGGACGAACTATCAAACGAAGACAAGTCGCTCTTAAAGTTCGCAAAACATGTTGACGTTGTTGATCAAACTAAACTGAATCTCCATCATGACATTACTAATGATCAGTAGGTMTATGCAATGAGTAATAGCCGGTCATTGTAACCTAACCTAATTGTAACATTTATTCCTTAACATTCATAGTATTTGGTTTGTATACTGGAAAGTGAAGGCATCAGCTATAATTTAAAATTTTGTTAAATAAGAAATAGGGGTGGTTGTAGACCGATATGGCTCATTGTCGCTCTGATCTATAAAATTKTTTCCACAACTGCAACTGCCACAATATATCAAGTTCCAAGCAGCCGATTCACTTGGATTGGTATAAATATTGGTAGTCGAAAAGTTTTTTCGTATTTTGTCAATAGATATCATTGCAGTGGTATATCTCCAGYGCTARGTCAAGTGGAAAGATGAAATTTTAAGCTTCATTTAACCAAAAACAAGTTAAATAAAGTCGAATTAAGTTAGAGCTGTTCAAAAATGTGTGAAAAAAATGAAGAGAGCAGTATCAATAATKTTTTCAATATTATTCARTATAAAWATAAAAAAAAARATAAGTTGAAGTTTGATTAGAAWWACGAARATACTTTTTCGACTACCCAATAYTATCTAAATATCTCTMTATGATTTTGYAGCTTCTTGARAWAGCGACATTCGTAATCATCATGTACTGCGTAAGCCAATCAATAATGCTTGTTATAGCAAATTTGATATACCAATTCATGGGCTTGGAGAAATAAAGTAATATGAATCCTACGTKCCCCTACAATGTATGTATCAATTCGAGCCAAAAACTAACGGAACACTTTGAAAAATTCCTTTCGAATTACAATCAYGACTTATTGTTGAAACAGTATCCTTTCAACGGCTGGACAATGGGGAAATTGTTGCCCTTACCTTGGGGTCAATACACAGCAACCACCTTCTGCTCGAGCTATAATATGGTTGATGTTCTGGTTGATATATATTTTGAACTGCATGAAAAATGAATTATAAATAAAAATATGATCTCGTCCCGCATTAATCGAGAATATTGTTCAGAGAATAATTATCYTAGTTGATCAGATGTGCAGTTATTCGAGTACCATAGCTTCGTGATGAGTTGTGCCAGAAATGTCTCTTTTTTGTCTTWGTTAGCCCCAAAATTTATATATTATCAATTAATTTCGATATTGAGTTTATTGAAAACATCATAAATATTTATATAAGATATTAAATATACATATTTCTACATCATCAAAAAAAAAAAAAAAAAAAAAAAAA